AAAAATAATTCCAAAACTGCCAAAACTGCGAAGGACAGCACAATTCATGAGTGTGTTAAGATCTTTAATACATATCATGGCATTAAGGAAGACCAGAATATGTATGTTAAGTATGTCAAGTTGTTAGGGAACTCTACCCGGAGGCAGTTCTTCGAGACCTTAGACCCAGAATTTCGTCTTCCTTACTTGCGCTCTTTTATGAAAGATTGAATGCTATATATGTAACTTCATTGACTATTTGTTTGATGGACGCTTGCTGTCTTATTTTCTATTTATGTGATGTATTTGTTGTGCGTATTGTATTTCTTTCATCCTTCAATATGTTAGCTACATATCGAACTTTGATGTTTACATATGCAAATATCAATGAAATGTGCGGCATGTATGAAACTTTCTTCATATTTATATTGTATTAAGTCAAATTTACATGCACGTAATCTTTGTATAGTATTTACTGATATTACATAACTATTTGGTATCTGGTTTAAAATCCTACCTTTCTTCCAGATTTTATATTATGGAGGAAGGACAAATTAATCAAATCCGCATTGTTACTCTCACCCTTACGTTGCTTACGTTGTCACCCTTACGTTGTTATACCATTACTACAATGCATATGTTGATCGAAACCCATGCATGACGTCCAGCAATATCGGAGATAGATATATTGGAGAGTTATTGCGTGGTCATCCAACACGTTTTGCAAATATGTTTCGTATGACAAAAGTCATTTTTCTTGACCTCCTAAATGAACTTCGGGCCCTCCATGGACTTCAAGGATCATCAAGAACAACATCTAGAGAGGTGTTGGCAATAACACTCTACATTTTGGCTTAGAATGAATCGATGAGAGGAGCTATGGAACGGTTTCAACATTCATCCGAAACCATAAGTAGATATTTCTCAGCTGGGTTGAATGCACTGGTGAGTCTGGCCCGTCAAATAGTCAAACCAGAGGACCCAACATTTCAGTCCATTCCCACACATATTACGAATGACCCTTGTTATATGTCGTTCTTTAAGATGCTTCCCATATTTAAATGTTAGTTAATCAAATTTCATATATATGGTCTTATTATTGATTACTTCATTCATACCAGGATTGTATCGGAGCTATTGACGGAACACATGTTGACGCACGTCTTTCTGGCAAAGAGAAAGTTGCATACATTAGACGATGCAGATCACCAACACAAAATATAATGGCTATTTGTGATTTCAATATGTCTTTCATATATGTTATGGTTGGATGGGAAGGTAGCGCACACGACAGCCGCGTTTTCAAGTTTGCTACTAGCAACAGAAAATATGGTTTCCCTTATCCACCACCAGGTATGACAATCGTTTTGAGCTTTTGACCATCCTAATTACTCTAAAATTTCTAAATGAAAGAAACCCTTACTCAGGTAAGTACTACTTAGTAAATGCTGGGTATCCTATGCAAAAGGGATATTTGAAGTCATATCCAGATACAAAATATCATATACCTGATTTCAAGAGATCGAACGGGGTTGCACGAGGAAAGAAAGAAATGTTTAACAAAAGACATTCATCCTTGTGTGGTGTGATTGAGAGATCGTTCGGGGTTTGGAAGAAAAAATGGGTAATTCTACGTGATATGCTAACTTATCCATTTCAAAACAAGTCCAGATTGTAGTGGCAACAATGGCACTACACAACTTCATTAGACGACATCATAGACGACATCATTCCAGGACAGGACAGATGCAGAGTTTGTCGTTATAGAAGAAGATTCATTGCAAATACCACCTGAGGCATTTGAATA